CGTTCTGTGCTCCTGGCTTCAGATTGACTCAGCTCTGGCCGTTGTGGCCACTTGGGGAGTGAACCAGTGGACAAAGGTTCGCTCTCTGAGTGAGTGCAATAATTGGGGCTGGGCCAAGCCAAGGTCAAGAGTCCTTAATCATCTCTATTCAGGTCTTTGATGTGGGTGACAAGGTCCCAAGCACCTGAGCCATCGTTCACTGCTTTCCTAGCTGAATTAGCAGGGATTGGATTGGGACCAGAGGAGTTGGAATGGAACCAACACCCATCTGGGATGCTGTCCTTTCAAGTGGTGACATAACCCACGGGGCTACAGTGCTGTGCTGGCTGTGTGTACTAACCTGCTGCTCCTTCCTTCCACTTGTGTCCTTTTCCATTTGGTCAGTCTCGGGCCATCACATATCCGCCTGTAACTACAGCTACAAACCATAAAGCTACAGTGAAATGGAATCCAAACATCTCCGTTGCGTTGACATAGCCCTGGTCAGGATGCTCAAGGCCACTTCTGCGGGCAGCTTCGTGTTTCTTAAATGTGGGGGTCCTTGAACCTGCCTTTCAGACACGAAGCCCTACAAGATGAAATCTGACCCCTAGGTCTGTGGCTTCCAGAGGGAGTGTGCAGCAGCCAGGTGGGGTAGGTGGGGTTGGGCTTTGTCCTATGTCCTGCATAGAACTGTCTTGCGTCCATTGTGTTTCTCTGGCTGTCACGGGTGTGAGTCTGTTTTATTTCTGATCTCAAAGTGCTTCTTGGCAAAGTTTTAATATGTTTGATGTATACTGGGATTCTGCAGGGTGTAAGTGTTAGCATCTTACTCTATGGGGAGATGATTTTATTCTGTTTGAAATTGCACCTAGAGCTTCTCACCATTTTGGCAGATCCGTGTCATACTGTTCCTTACCACTTGAGACTGCACGCTGACACACCTGGGTCAGGCTGCATTTTACAGCTGCTTCACTGTGATGATGGTAGGAACTGGAGCAAGGATTTCACAAGTTCATTGACTCCCGTGGCCCTTGTTGAATCAGCTGGAAATTTCTGAAGCAGATTGATGGGAGGCGGAGCGCTTTCCTCTGCGTACCTCCAGGCCCACTTCTACACTTTGGATAGTTGAGGATCTGGGATAGCATGTATCCCAGCATTTAAAAAAGCGTTTTATTTTTGGTATTGTTTACATAGATGACAAGGATGCATGCCTATGAAGACCATTGATTAGGGTGGGGAGGGTCAGGGTATGAGGGGAGGGGGTGGGACAAAGGCTTCCAATGATCCTTTCCTTCCCTTTTCTCCTATATCTGGGAGTGGGGGAAGCAGGTGGGGGTGGGAGGGCACTCCCAGCTGCCAGACTGTATCAGTACCTGGGGATGGGGGATGGCCACCTGATGTCCTCTTTGAAACCCCAATGTGGAGAAAAATATTCTGAGGGTATTGCTTGAGCAGTTTTGCTAGCTCTGAGACTATCAAAGAAATTGGTTGTGCTGCTGCAAGTTTGAAAAAATCCTTCCAAGGCCCATTGCCTGGCAGTGTCCACTCCAGTGCACCCTCTCACCCAGACACTTGCTGCCAAAGCTTGGCCAGGAAAGTTGTTCAGGAAGATGCTCTGCATCTTCTGACATGGCACGTACAGTCAGTCCTCTGCAGGCCGAGCTGAGCTGGCCGTCATGTCCCCCATAGGCACCTGGGCACGCCATATACTGCACAGGCGTCAGCAATTGAGGAGGCGTGGGCTCGATACAATCAACATTTTCTTTGGAAGTACATTTAAACCGTTGGTTTCTATTTAACTTATTTAAAATCTTTATTTTTATTAGCGAGGCAGATTTACAGAGAAGGAGAAACAGAGAAGATCTTCCATCTGTTTGTTTACTCCTCAAATGGCCGCAATGGCCAGAACTGAGCTGATTCAAATCCAGGAACCAGGAACTTGTTCTGGATCTCTCACACAGGTGCAGGGACCCAAGGCTTTGGGCCGTCCTCCGTTACTTTCCCAGGCCACAAGCAGGGCGCTGGTTGGAAAGTGGAGCAGCCGGGACACAAACTGATGCCCATAGATGCCGGTGCTTGCATATAGAGGGTTACTAGTTGAGCTGTCACAAGAGCCCCATTGTCTTCTTTTCCATAAATTCAGAGTGAGAACAATATATTGAGTTAAAAAATCGTGCTATAGCTCAGTTACTATGAATTTCATTTCCGAACAGGAGAATGGATGTTGAAGGCATTTGTACATGGGACTATCGAGTCCCAGTCTGGGATGGCAGCTCTGCATGTAAGTGGTGCCAGTCATAAGCACGGATGAAAGGGCAGGCACCAGAGGTCTGAGTCCGTATGTACTCATGCCAATTGTGCAGGGCAGGTTATCATTCCGTTATTCTTTGCTGCGTGCCAGGCACTGCTGTAGAAGTGTGGCGTTTGTGAATGGAATCTCAAATCCATCCCCGGTCTTAAGTAACCTTATCTGTTAGGAAGGGAGATGGATAGTACACGTCATTGATAACTTAGAGGACATTTTATTGCTGTGAATTACTGAAGGATTCTGAATGGTAATGAAGGGAATAGTTAGGCCATTCCAGTTTTAAATAAGGCCATCATACATTTCCTATTGAGGATATAAAGTTTGAGCCGAACCTTGGCTTGGATCGGCTGCTTGGGTAACGAGAGAAGGAGCCATCCAGGCCGGAGGAAGAGAAAGCACAAAGGCCTGTAGCTAGAATATCCAGCTGGCATGGAACCACAGGGATGCCGGTGCGACAGCCTAGCATTACCCTCTGTGAGTGTGGGTTGGCCTAAGAACAGAAAGTCAAGGGCCCTTGCTTGTTCTTGGAGTAAAGTGGGGGCATTATTGCAAGCTGTGAGCCTCACTTAAGTTGACATAATCTCAGTTGTAAATTTCTAAAAACTCCCGCAGCTGGTGCGGCCTTGCAGGGAGCAAGGGGCGAAGGAGATGGGTGAGGAGACAGGATGACAGGCTCCACGCCGATGCTGATGGTGGCAGTGAGAAGTGGACATTGGTTGTGTAATGCCGATTCAGTACTTGTTCAGGGTCCCAAAAAAGGAGTGCAGTGCCTCATTTGAGGAGAGTGTGAAGTGACCAACAGAGCTGTGACTTCAGATCCCTGTGTCCTCCTGTTTCCGGTTGTGCCTGGGAGGGAGGCGGGCCTCTACGGGCTGGTGCCAATGAGCAGTTGGGAATACAACGGGCAAACTTGTGGCATGAAAGTGAAGCAGGACGAAATGGAACCAACTGGTTCTGACAGCCTTACACATTTCCTCTTGATTGAGCCTGAACGCTATTTTGAGTAAAAACATATGCTGCTACTCAATGAATGTTTCTTGTAAAAGTGTGATGCCAATTCAGAGACAACTGTGTCCAATTTTCTCATCGCAGCACCCTTCCCGAGCTCTCTGGTGCTCCTCCTGTCTGAGGCTGAGACGACAGAACACTTCGTTAGCACGTTAGCTTCATTGAAGTTGGCTGACACCGTGTGCCTTAGGGTGTGGGTGACGTGGCTTTACCCTAGATTTTCACATTTTGTGTTTGAAAAGTGCGGGAGTCATCCGAGCCTTGCTCCAATAAGCGAGCACAGCTCATCCTCTGTGCACGTCATGAGTCCTGTGACCTTCTGTGTCGGGAGGAGATTTGATAACCGGAGAACTGAATTTCCTCTAGCAGGGTCTTTTGAAAGCCCGCCAACAGCGTGACCCGCCGAGGTATTAGGAAGAGCACACCTAATTAAGCCAAGTTACGTAGCGCGTCTCCGGGAGATTTCAATCCTCGCCAAGGTGACTTTTTCAGTCTCTGGTCAGGTGCTTACATGTCATAAATATTTTGCCCTAAGGTCTCCTGCCTAATCAGGTGGTGATTGTGATCGATGGTACCTTTCCCCTCCATCCTGCACTTGGAGCAATTACTTGTGAAGAGTAATTGCGTCTTCTCATTCTTATGCTGTGGTTACCATTACTCCAACTGTCAGTAAGATCATTTCTTGGCTTGGAGTGAGGAGAGCAGAAGTAGCTTCATTTACTGAAACCTCTCTCTCTTATTCTTTCAAGTTTGTATTTTAGGAACTCAACTCAATGATAATCTGGGCAGGGCAAGGAGGTTTTTTTTTTTCTTCCCCTCCCCCCAACCCCAACAAGCCTTGAGCTATTTCTGATATGTTATGACCTTGGAGAAGTGTTCCTGTATCCATGTAGGAGATCATTTGAAGGCGAGTGGGAGTTGTAGCTTTGTATTTTTAGATCATATTTTCATGTGGCATTTGTTCTTGGGTGGCATGGTGTCATGGGAATCTGTCTTCCTGGTCTGGGAGTTAGAGCATCGTGTTTCAGTTCTGGCTTTGTCCAGTTGCTGCTGTGGCTGAGCCAGTCTCACTTTTTGCGTCTGTAAAATGGATGGGAGGATGCATGCCTGTCCTCCGCTTCCGAGTGGGTAAAGGGAGCGATGAGGAACGTGTGAAAGAACTTGGCAAGCGCTATGCTTATGTCTGTGCTGGGTGCTCGTGGTGTGTGGTTACACTCACGGAGCTGGTGCTGAGGAACCTGCCTTTCTGACTTTAACCCATCCTGGTGTCTGAGAAGTAGCTTGAGCCAGCTTGGCTTCAGCATGAAGGGCGGATGTGAACAGGGGCTGGGCCGGAAGGAAGAATCAAACCGTGGAAACAATTTGAAAATTCTGACTTGTGTTTCTGGAGAGGATTTTTGCTTTTTGCTGTTGTTGTTGTTCATTTTCCTATTTTTTTCAAGTTACACATTTTCAAAGTTTCAGAAAAGTTCAAAGAAATGATAATGCAATCCATGTTAATGTTTGCCACACTTGCTGAGTTTCCTTGTGCATTTTATATACTGGTTTTTGATTTTGGTTTTCTGCTTTGTTTGACTGTTGTTCTTTCAACAATTCCCTCCTACCGAGCGTAGCAAAGTCGGCCATCTCCCAGCCTGCAGTGTGCTGGATTAAGTTGAAGCTTTTACATCCCTTTGCTTAATCGATATCTTCTCTTGCACAGGATGAACTCACTGCTGTGAATGTAAAGCAAGGCTTCAACAACCAGCCAGCCTTCAGTGGAGATGAACATGGCTCAGCCAGGAATATTGTAATTAACCCGTCAAAGGTAATGGTAATTGTTCCCTACAACACACGAGTGTGGCACCACCCTGTATAGACAGTTAATAATGATCAGTTGGTGTTTCAAACCCTAGTCTGCTTTCCCACTACACTGAAATTTCCCGTGTGCTGTCCCGCCCCAGGGGTCAGGCAGGGCTCTGGAGTCTCCTCAGGATCTAACACCACGCTGAACTCCAGTCCCTTCTCCACCGAGGCTTTTCATGGCTGTCATTATGGAGGGCTTTAAGCCAGTTGTCTTGTTTTTGAGTTTGATTTTCTGGATTTCTTTGATTGCTTCCTCATGACAGGACTTAGGCTAAATGTAGTAAGACTGCGTCCTGCACTGCATTGTAGTCGGAGGCGTGCAGTGCCAGCTTGCTACCCTGCTGGTTCTACTGAGCTGGCTCCCTTGAGAGGCTGTGTCCATCTTCTTCCTACGCTGGGAAGATAGTATTCTCTACCTTTTTGGTAATCTCTACAGGGCGATACTTTGAGACAGTGGTGGCGAACGTGTGGCCAGTGGGCCGTCGTAAAGCCTGCAGAATCAGTTGGATTGGCCCTGCCAAGGCAGCTGCAGGTGGGATTTAAAATTCCTTAAATGCTAATTTTTTAGTAGATCATTTTGTATGGTCTATGTAAATGGCTCTTGGAAGCAAAGAGGTTTCCCACCCTTGCTTTAGGATCAGATGAATGTGCTATTCACCAGAAAAATTCTACTCTATGATTTCAGCATTAAGTGGTGATTCCTGATGAACGATATATTTTACTGGTGAATGCAAAATGCTGATTTTCTAATTATGATTCCTTATGCATGTATATTGGAGTTCTTTTTTGAAAAAGGAGCTTCCTTGAGACTTTCCTATCTTGAAAGACTGAAAATTCCCCCAGTCCTCTAGTTCACTGCCCAGATGGTTAATAGTGGCTGGGACATGCCCCAGGTCACAGTTGGGAGTCATGACATCAATTTAGGTCTCCTATGTGGTGACAAAAACCCACTTACTTGAACTCTTATCCACTACCTCTTAGTGTCCACATTAGCAGGAAATGTGGATGTCCCAATTGAAATCTTAACTGCTGTGCCAAATATTTCCTGTGGTTATTCTTTTAGCCTTTAATTTTCTTTAAGAAAATCCACTTGAGATATTTTGGTGATTTGAATATAAACTACTTTCGTGCAATTAACAATGTCATATAAATCAGAAGAACTCAACGTGCAGGTGGATTCCTACACTTCATTCCCCAAAGATGAGCATATTTAAGGTTTGTGTATCACTCTGGGTTTTTTTAGGTAGGTGCCCACGTGTGTATTCAACCACATACATCATTGAGAGTGTTAAAATTACCATGAAGTACTGTTTTCCAGTTCCGTTGAGCAGACACGATGCTTTGAGTTGACTTTTTCCAGTTTTGAGATGCTTCTTCTTACTACCTAACGTTTACATCTCTAAGCACATTTGTACTATGTGCAATCCTCACTGCCTGTCTCTAGAGCATGTTCATTTTCCCTAACTAATCTATTTTTTATGAACAAAATGTCGTTTTATTTGCCTGTTTCCCACTCCATAGCCAACATAGGTGAAATCCAATTGCTACTCATTGTTATGACCCACTCATTGCACCGTGTGTGTGCTGCGATTGAAGCCTCCACGTGTGCTCTGTGTGCTGCTTTCCTTCTTTAGGATCACTCCCAGAAACACAGCACTGGGAAACAACAGGAATCTGTTTTCTCACAGTCTGGAGCCAAGGTGCTGGCCCGGGGAGCTGGGGCGCAGGCCCGAGCAGTCGGGACGCCGGCCCGGGGAGCCACGGTGCTGGCCTGGGGAGCCAGGTGTGCTGACCTGGGGAGCCAGGAGTGCTGGCCTGTGGAGCCGAGGCGCCGCCCGGGGAGCCAGGTGTGAGCCAGTCTCCAGCAACACCTCTCGTGGCGTGCCCAGTCCTCAGCCCTTTCTCATAGCCCTTCTTATAGTTATCGTTTGTTGGATTAGAGCCCACCCTACCCCTGGCCAGCTTACACATCACCTTTTTAATCTCCACACACAGTTGCATTGGGAGTTGGGGTTCCATTGTTGGAATTTGAGGGCAGGGGACACAGAGTCTGTAGCAGAATATGACTGGTCCGTGTCCCTTGATATGAACTGCTAGATGATTCTGTGTCACTGTCTCATCATCAGTTTAGATAACTGAAAAAACAGAGGTGGCATCCATTAAAACTTGAGCGCTCACTCCTGATTCACTCAGGTACCCAAGCCTTCAGAAGGGAATTTGACTTTATAAATATGAAATATATAAATAGAAGTGTAGCCCCCTTTTCCTCTGTATTACCTAATGGATTATTGTCAAAAATAGCTTGGAATGGGTAGAAGCATGTGTTACATTTAACCTTTTTGAGGTTAAACTCACGCCTTGTTTGAGGCACTATGAGTTATAGGGACCTTTTGAGGACGTTTTGGAAATGGCTATTCAATTTGTAGAACTATAGAATCTAAATTTTGGAAGTTTACTCTAAACCTTTGCCTGTGAAGTCAAAGTGAAGACTAGTTGATTCTAACATGATTTGTCATAGCAGAATTTGGGAAAAAGTATTCCAGATGTTCATTAACAGTTCACTCCATAGTTACATTATATAATTGTAATGTTACATGTTTGCAGCCTTGTTTTATGTGTGCATAAAAATGAAGTTCTGCATACAGATACATAAGGCTGTCAGGCATTGACCAAGTTTGCGTCATGAAATGGACATACGAGAAGGGAAAAATAATGTATGTTCTAAGTATTTGTACAAACACTAGAACACATATGTGACTAAATGAATTGGTTACCTGGAGGACTTGAGAATGAATCCCTCTAATTTATTTTTGTGACTTCCAGGTAATCTGAATCTGTTGTTAACACAAAATGTCCAAATTATTTTCCCGATTTTTTTGAGTCCCAGTCTGCGTTTTCTCCTCCATGTCTCTTTCAGAAATTTTAACTATGGTTTCACTATGTACTAGTTTACAGTTTGTTTGCAGGAATGAAAACATGTTACAATCGCCATGTTCCAATGCTATCGTTAAATACATAGACTAGAGTATAATTATATACAGCAGATTTTTCATCCTACTGTTTTCCTTACTTTTATATACTTACATAATTGCCCATAAGAGACATTTTAAATAAAACGATCTTTAGAGGCAGGTGTTCAGCTCAGCGGTCATGCAGATCAGTCTGCCTAGACTTGGTACCCAGCTCTGGCTCATGCCCGTGCAGACCTTGGGACACAGCAGTGATGACTCAGCAACCGGGAGAGCTGCATCTAGTCTCCCAGTTTGCATTGTCGACCAGCCCTGGTTCATCACTGGCTGCTGTGGGTGCTCGCTGAGTGAACCAGTGGATAGGCGCTCTGCCTGTCTGTTGTCTTCTAATAAAATAAATAACAAAAAAAAACACCCCATTTTGGTGCTAAGTGTTTTGGACCCTTGGTGCAAAACCCAAATATTAATTGAGAAGTTTCAAAGTAAACATTTGAATGCTAGCTTTTGTAAACAAGGGCTTTTTGCACTTAATTTGCTCACTGAGCATTCTGCAAATATTTTCTCTTAAAATCACCGTTGTTTTTGGCTTTTTTTTTTTATCTCTTTAAAGGTGTCAATTTATTTACATATGCATAGGATCATTACAAATTCAAGACTTCTATTTACTCCAGTTTTTATTTTCTTATCACATCAATACCAAAACAGACATTTTATCACATATCAGCCACAAGGATTAAGAATTGGCAACCTCTATTAGAAACAAATTGTGTACCTTTCACCCTGGTAGGTAGTTTGTTTATTGACTGACGGGTATTGGCAAAGTTGATGTTTTATTTTGCTTTCCCAAGGGTGGCTTTTTAAATTTTAATTCTCCTTGCACTGTTTGTTTAAAAATCTGTTAGATATTTGGAAGATCCCAACTGATTTTCTCTGGCATCATTGCAGTATTAGAAGTTTCTTTATTCCTTCATTCTTGCCCTTTCCCCTTTTAATTTGGTTAAGATGAAAGAGTTAGCAATTTGCAGAAGCCACACTTGCCTGTTTGAGGCATTCAGAGCAGATAAAACCAGCTTTCTCTCAGAACCCCTGTGCTCAAGAAATTGGCAGCCCAATGAAAAAAAAAAAGGTTGAATACCTGATTTATTTGAACCTTTTGTCATTTTCCATTTAAATACATTACTCCAGACGCTCTTTTGAAACATGGAGTATGAACAAAGTTGCCTTTCCTAAAACATGTGCATTTAAGATGAGGCAAGAAAAAGAATGATGGCTGTGTGATTACTAGGATTCTGTTGTTGAGCTCCACCCCTCTCTGGGATGACGCGGTCCTGAAGGGTCGTGGACAGGAAAAGCAGGAAGTACTGCTGAAGGTAAAGCAGAGCTCCTTTGCTTCAGATTTATTCAGGATGTAATTAATTTTATGCCAGAGATTTCCAAAGGTGGTGCTTTTTTTGTTGAGCTGCTTGCTAATATCAGAACGAAGGGTTGTCAATTTTTGCACCATGTTGGTGCAAAGAAATCAAAATTTGTGACTTAAGTTGCCAACTTCTTTTCTGATGGACTGAATGGAGATTTTCTTTTTTTTTTTTTAAGATTTATTTATGTTTATTACAAAGTCAGATATACAGAGAGGAGGAGAGACAGAGAGGAGGATCTTCCATCCGATGATTCACTCCTCAAGTGAGCGCAACGGCCGATACTATGCTGATCCGAAGCCAGGATCCAAGAACTTCTTCCGGGTCTCCCACACGGGTACAGGGTCCCAAAGCTTTGGGCCGTCCTCAGCTGCTTTCCCAGGCCACAAGCAGGGAGCTGGATGGGAAGTGGGGCTGCCGGGATTAGAACCGGTGCCCATGTGGGATCCTGGGCGTTCAAGGCGAGGACTTCAGCTGCTAGGCCACGGCGCCGGGCCCTGCATGGAGATTTTCAACGCAAGCAGTAGAGGTGAAACACTAATGTGTTCATTGTGTTAAACTTTCCCCCCTCTTTCCACAGATTGGAGCGTATTTCAGCAGCATATTAGCTGAGAAACTAAAGCTTAACACTTTCCAAGACACCGGAAAGAAGAAACCACAAGTTAATGCTAAGGATAACTATTGGCTGGTTACTCCTCGGTCCCAGAGTGCAATTCATAGCTGGTTCTCTGACTTAGCAGGAAGTAAACCACTTGCCATCTTGGCAAAAAAGGTATCAAGTACTTTTTACGTTTGATCCTATAGAAATGAAGCTGTCTGAAACGGTGTACATTTTGACTCACCAGTTGTAACATTGGGAAGCTTCGTGGCAGGTGTCAGTGACCTGCTGTCAGCTTTAGTTTGAGACTGCGGTGTCTAGGACATGTGTAACATCAGTCATTCCGTGCAGCAAGCAGTTGTTTGTGTAGGTCCCAGGTAGACAGAATTTCAAAATCAAGAACAGGTAGTAACATTCTTTTTTTTTTTTTTCAATTTTCTTTTAGGTTTTTTTTTTTGTTTTGTTTTCTTAGGCCAAGGTGTCCAAGATTTGTTAAACATGTTCCTCAGGAGTTTATTTCCTTGACTTCCGGAATACTCAGCCAAATGATTCATGCTCAGTCTTACCAAGTGGAGCACAGATTGTGGTCCTGTGGGACCTGCTAGTGCTCGTGAAACTTGCATTCTTCTTGTTAAGCGGTGGTAGGAGGTTCTTTCAAAATCTTTGCTTTTGGTCACTGCTGTCAAGTGAGATAAAACAGGTTTTGTAGTCTTACAACTTACTATTATTATAGTCAAGATTTTATGAAAGTATGTTGAAATCAGGCCAGAAGCTGGAATGGTCTCTTAGTCTTGCTCGCTGCCTTCTTGCTCACCTTCTAGATAATTCCATGGTCTTTTTTGCCCTGCAGCCCTTTCGTTTTGGGGTTGTGTGGTTTCTGTTTCTGGTATGAAGTGTCCGTTACTGGCTTGGGAAGGACCTGCTTTAGAAGGGATTTGTTACGTTATTCCCTAAAGCAACTCTTTGAAAATAGTGTTCGAAGGGTGCAATGGCTTTATTTTGCTGTCGTGTTATAACATGTTGTTGCCTTGACTAGTTTTTAGAAGAGGTTAAAGTCGACCAAAATTCTTAAAAAGCGCGACAATAGACAGAACTACCTTGTACCAGGCAGTTAGCGATAGTATCTCAACCCAGGCTGGACCATGGAGCCCTTCCGTTCCAGTGGTGAACTCTGACGTTGTGGCGTTGCTGTGACTGTGAATTGCGTTGGCAGGCCACACATCGTAGGAATTCCGTTAGGGTTTTGTGGCTTTTAAGTAGCAGCTCCTGTTCTTCATATGGCCAGCCTGAATCTGTTTTTTTTGGTTTTTCTCTTGTAAGAACTTTTCGTGTGTTCCTTGAAATCTGAGTGCTGGGGAGGGGCTGGTGGCCCAGCTTTAGGGGGGCAGTGGTGTCTCCTCTCTCGGTGGGGAGGTAATTAGTCATTGTTCCTCTGTTCATGTTAGGTGTTCCTCAAGTAAGCCCTGGCGTTCATTCTTTTGCAAACTGAAAAGATATTTTCTCTGTGAATCTGCTGACCTGTCCTTTGAAGCAGTCTTTTCTTGGGTATTTCAAAAGTCATTTCTTTGCCCTGCTTAGCATAACATCTTGTTGGGACAGTCACGCCCTTTGAGTTGGGTAAGGACTATTCCTGCATGTTCTTCATAGTAGACAGTTCAAAAGTTTTGTCTTTTCTGATAGGCATCTGTCAGATAGCTTAAGGCAGAAATGCTTGATTTACCTGCTGGGATCCTAGCATTCCTTTGAAGGCTTGAGTTTCAAGAGGTGTGTCGTATGGGCTGGATCATGTTTCTGGACTTTCTGGACTTGGTTTTCTGTTCAGGCAAAGCTCTACAGAGCTGCCACACAGCCCCGTCCAGGACCTTTCAGCTCATTTCTAATCAGCCTGATTGGGAAAAGCCTACTGCTGGCATCTGGCAGTTGGGTTCAGTGCTTGAGGCCCACCTGTTCATGCAGGTGGCTTTGATTCCTACACTTTTCAGGGTTTCTTTTGCCTCCACCCCTGCTAAGCAAATAGAGCCTGTGACCAACAGGAAAGGTGATAGGACAGTTCCTTTGAGTGGAAAAGCAACATATGCTGGGTAACTTAACTTTGTTTTGGTGCTTAGGTGCAAGTCCAGCTTGATTTAGAAACCAAACAGCAGCTCAGTGGTTGGCTAGCTTGAAGTCAGATGGTTCCCTTACTGAAAAGTTGGAAGCCATGGCTTGTTGTAAGGAAGCAGTGTCGGGAAGTATGAATACTTTCCCTTTCCTGAGTCAGTTGGCCCAAACTGTAACAAGCCTTCTTCCTTAATTATGTGATTTCCTTCCCATACTGTGTGTCCGTCTGAATCCTAAACCCCAGTTCCCTTGGCCTTCTGCCAGTATGGCTGGTGCTTTGTACACTACCGTTATGTAAGGTTGATTGGTTGCTTAATTTTATTTGGTGTTGCACATAAACTTTTCACATGTAAAAATGTTTTACTATTTCTTTTTTTTTACCTGTCAGTTGCTGTTCAAGCAGAAACCTTTAGGCATCTATGACAGATAAGTAGTAGTGATTCTTCATAGAGACTGACTTGGCTTTGCTTTTGCAAAAAGGCCTATGTTTAGGCCTTCATCTTCTAATCTTTTGGTGTGTGTAAATGAGAGGCGAACTGTCCAGGACTTCTAAAGTTTACTCCATTGACACCATAGTGTACATTCTCCCGAAGAGCCACCACTCCAGTCTTGCAATGAGTATTTAACCCTGCACTTTCTTTTCCCTGACTTAAGTGGTGGTTATTTAAGCTCACAACCTCATCCTCCATGAAGAACGTGTGCTGTAAGCTAGATGTTTAGGAGGTCTTCTGGTTACAGTGTGTCACCATGTGTGTTGTGGCTTGGGCCTCTGTCGCTTCAGTCCCCTTTGACAGTACGGTCACCTCTGTCGCAGGGCTGATTCTAAAGTGGGCACCCACGACAGGCACCACAGTGGCTTGTTTCTAGGGGCCATCTGCAAATAAAAACAATCAAGAAACCAAAACAACAGGCAACCAACCAAACACAAAAGCCCCCCCAAAAACACCACTTAGTTTCAATTCTAGGACCCACTGTATGCCAGGTATATGAACAGACAAATTTGTAACACATGATGCGAACTATTCAGCACACAAGCGAAGGTTTGGCCAAGAGAAGCATGCTAGGCAGTGTGACTCTGTTAGCTGGATGGAAGCTCTTTACAACGCAAGCTTAGTGGGAGTTTGGGGCAGAGAGACCAGAGCTCTGATTTGTGATTGTAATGTTGGGGGTCCTCAAAGAGACAAGTTCATGGCTTGAGAACACTTTGGGGATAGGCATGTGGCTTAGGCTGTTAAGCTTTCTCTTCAGCACTGGCATCCCATACAGGTGTGGGTATGAGTCTGTTGCTCCAGTTCTGATGGCATTCCCTGCTAACAGCCTGCGAGGAGAAGCAGAGAATGGACCAAGTGCTTAGCTGACCTGAAGAAACTCCTGACTTTTGGCTTTGGACCGTCACAGCTCCGCCTTCTAGATAATTCCATGGTCTTTTTTGGGGATGTGAACCAATGGGTGGAGGTCTGCCCTGTGTCTTTCCTTCTGTTTTGTAACTCTGCCTTTCATATAAAATTAATACTAATAACGAAATCTTTGCAAAGAAAATGAAAACCCGGAGTGGCTCATAACAGTTGCGGGAATGGACCACACACAGTCTTTGTTCTGATTCTCAGGCACGCGTGTCTTGGCTGTGTCCTTGCCTGCAGACCACGAGGTGCAGCCGTGGTGTGCACCGTTTCCAGCCGAGGCGTGTGGGACCGAGACGGTCTGGCCCATGGGCTCCATCCAGGGAGGGGTGGATGGCTGCTCGTGAGCCAACTTGCACATTCCTGCCTCAGCACTGACGTGGCCTACATTCAGAAACTTAACATATAGACAGAGGGGCTGTTCCTCAGATATGTGTAAGGGGTTCTAGAAGAACGAATTAACTCTGTCAAGCCACTCGGTGGTACATTGGGACACTAATTTGCTAAATAGTACCTTTGTGGTCTGAAAGAAATAATTAACCGCCTCAAGTGCCTACTTTCAACCAGTGAATTAATTACCCAGCTATTTCTAGCTCAGTGTTTATTAGGCAGATTCACTGATCCATCATTTTAGCCTCTATTTTAAATTTGGCTAAGGGCAATTTTGGAAGCTATCTAGCAGTTGGTACTCTTTTGAAAGGTTGGAGTCAGAAAGCTTTATACAAAATGGTGTCCCTGGGTAAAAAGCAATGTGGGGAGTCTTTCTTTTTTCTTTTTTTTAAACGAGATCTGTCCTTCTCAATTTTGAGAAATTCTTTGGAAGACTGTCATGAAATAATTTTTTCCCTGGTTTGTTGATAAGATGAATAGCTTTCAGCATGTGAGAATTTGAAAATAATTTGCTTTATAAATAAGAAAGTACAACGGATTAAACAGCTTTGCTGCTGTGTTAGAAGTGCTTTTGAATCTTCCACTTAATGAAAATTGGCTTTGCATGTTCCCTGTTTTAACTACCTGCATTGTTTGAAAATCAGATGTATTTTATTTAATATTAATTTGAAACGGAGAGAGCATGAAGTTGTTTGCTTGATTCCATCTGCTGTTTCCTTCCCAACTGGCTACCGTAGTAGGGTTGGACTGGGCAGAAGCCAGGAGTTTCATCGGGGTCTCCCCAGGTGGAGGCAGGGGCCCAAGGACCTGGACCATTTTCTACTGCTTTCCCAGGCCATTAGTAGGAAGCTGGGTTGGAAGAGGAGCAGCCAGGACTTGAACTGGTACCTGCATGGGATGCTGGTGCTTCAGACAGTGGCTTATTGTGTTGAATCACAGCGCCGGCCCTGGTACGTATTGTTTTGTAGCAGTTAATAGCTTCTGTTTGCCTCTTGCTTCTGTTTCTCCTTTCTTTAGGTTCTTCTAGTGATGGACACAATAAGTTATTATAAATGTGCTGCTTCTTTTTAGGTTCCCATCCTTAGTAAAAAAGAAGATGTTTTTGCATACTTAGCTAAATATTCAGTGCCAATGGTTCGAGCAACGTGGCTGATCAAGATGACGTGTGCCTATTGTTCTGCCATCTCTGAAGCTAAAATCAAGAAGCGCCAGGCTCCCGATCCCAATTTGGGTAAGTAAGACATTACGATAGCTTTTGCATTTCATTTTTGGTTCTTCCAGTGGTTGTCGCTGGCTCCCAGCTTGAGTTGGAAAAGGCCCACGGGGAGGCTTAGGTCACTCATGGTGTGTATAGGAGGGGTAGATGAGCTGGTTCTTACTCATTCACACCCAGAAGTTGGATTCCATTAACAGGTCCTGTTGATAGCCCCTCCAGAACAGAGCTTCTGTTTCAACACTTTTGTTCTTTACCACTCCTGCTGTGGACATACTTGTTCAGGCTGCAGTTTTCTTTCGGCTAGCTCCGGCTGCAACCTCCTGATCGGTCTCCCGGCCCTCCCTAAATGTGTGCTGGAATACAGGGCCCATTTGGGCAGGGCTCTGCTCTCTCAGTCCCCAGGCAGTCCCCTGTGTCTAGCGCTGTGCTGGATGAACCGAAGGAAAACTGACTTCTGCCTGCCTGTCTGCAGCAGCTCTTCGACAGAGGCTTTTGGAGGGATTATTCAAGCGTACTTGGTGGACAGTAATGAGGCCCCGTTACCCAAGTGCGTGGATAACTAGAGGTGAAGATGTCTCTTTAAGGATAAGGTTTATAAGTAGTGGTGTGTGTGTTTGAATGGATGCACACCTCTGGTCTCTAAAGGGAGAAGCAGCCGCGGAGCTGTGAGGAGCGGTGGCAGGATGTACAGATGTCCTAGGACACCTGGCAGTGTGGGAGAAGCATCCGAGTGCTGGCAGGTCCCAGGACACCGGAGAGAGAGCAGGGCCTCCTCTCACAGCACTATTGCCCACCTAACCAACAGAGTATGTGATCTGGACTCTGTGCCTGATGTCTTTCCAGTCGGCATTGTCTCATCACCTCTTGAATGGGAGAACTGAGTTTTCTCTGTATATGAAAGTAACAAAAAACCAACCGAACACCCATTGGGCCGAAAAAAAAAAAATCCAGATAGTTGTGTCTTAGTGTTGTCTTTGTGGTTTTTTTTTTATTATCTTCATCTCTCTGAGTTGCATTCCTGTCCCGTACCCCCAACTTTATGATTTAGGAGAGAATGAAATAAATTATTGAAATAATACGTTGCACTGTACTTCACTCAGCCTTGTTGCACATGTACCCGTGGTTCTCACGGATCTGTGTCTCCTCCGGGTTTGTTAATATTTCTCTCCAGGGCTTGGATATCTAGTTATTAGCCAGCTCTTTGACTGTGCATCTGAAACTGAATGTGCAGCAAAACAAAGCCTGTGTGCTGCTGTCTTGTCCTGTTTAGTTTGTCTGGAGAGTTCTAATTCTGCCAGCGTTTGCATGTTGTACTCACTTTTGTTGGCCTGTATGCATCTACTCTGAGCTGTGAGATAAGGCCGTGTGAGAAGTTTGCTGGATCTTAAAGGTGGTACCTGTCATGTAGATGATGGTCAGTAGTAGTTTGAAGAAATAAATGATTGGGCATGCGGCATGTGTGTGTGCGTGTATGTGTGTAATTTTAGTTGTCCCCAAATCTTGAAACTTTGAGTACTGTTAGCCACAGCGGGAAGATTATCCCATTCCTTATGTTCTATTCTTTTTTCCGCCTTTTCAGAAATCAAGTGTTTTCTCTGATGCTCACCTTAGTCTTGATTGTAACTGATACATAAAAATTCAGGAAATGAACACAGGAAATTATTTTTCTTACTGAAATGGAGCAATCTGAGTACAAATGATAGACCCTCATTTGCAAAAACCCATGTAGCGTCTTTAGGAAGTCCCTGATGTGCGTCCCCAAGAGCGCGTGAAGGGCCTGGTGCAGGCGGGGGTGGTTGGGTTTTCTGGGTAAGCACAGCAGCGTTCTTGTTCGGTACCTCGCTTTCATGGTTGCCTTACCACAGTTACCAGCTGCTGTTTTCTTCTTGAGGGGCTGGGGGCTTATCTTCTCCCCTCGAAAAGGCTATTATTTTTGTTATTTTTTGTCTGTAATGGATGGCTGACTGCATTCATTCACTTAGTCATGTCTTCCTTCATAAGCCTCCCACCACAATTCAGTTTTTTGATGGAGTTTATTTAAAAAAAAAATTTGCAGCTCTTAGGTCTTCATGATTGTGAATCTACGTTTAAAACTGTGAATGTTAACCGCACAGAGGTCAAGTGCTGCTGCCCCATTTGTCGTGGCAGAGAACATAGGCGCTGACCTAAGGAGTGCCTCCGGCTAAAAATAAAAACATTTTTAAAATTCATGAATGGCTGGACGCTTATACCTCTAACCTCTCAGATCTCACATCTTGGAAAGAACACTGGACTTTGGTTAATTTTGTAGTTCTCCCAGTAAGTGCCGAGTAACTTCAAGGAAAGTCCTTCAGCTGCCTAAGTGTTATTTCCTTAGCCTGGGTCCTGTTCAGTGTCTGGGTTGCCATTGTCATAATGTTTTAATCATCCATCTGGAGCAGTTCTACTTTTGCTTGTTTGTTTGTTTTGTTTTTTCCTTGGTCTTGATACTTTTACAGTGGGCGAGCCAGTTAATTCTTAGAATGACCACCGGTTTACTTTCCTCTGATTCCTCGTGGTGACTTTAGGGCTATGCACTTGGGTAACACTATCATTGAACTGCTGCTGTGAACATCTCACTGCATCGTGTCCTCTATTGTCCCTGTATGGCTGGTGACAACTTGAATCCTCATCTGGTAGTGTCTACTGGATTTCTTTTTGACACTTAAGATTTTACCCAGTGTAATTCCTGAATGAAGTAACGAGGTAAATATTAGATTCTTACGCATGGCAGAAAGCGAGGGCATTATCTTCTGGGTGCTTTATGAAAAGTGCATTTTTCCAATACTTGGTTTTATTTTGCTCTCACCTTGTTGCACCTGAAACCTCTCACTCGTTTTCGGCACCTTGTCCAGTTTCTTCAAGGAAACGACGTGGTGCATTTGGAAGCAGTTGGCTATGTAGACATAATCATAATGCAGCAAGTTTCACACCCCAAATAGCCGTAGAGCCAAGCAGGCGTGCACACATGTTTGTGTTGAATTAGATTCAGAAGATTGACTTGCAGTAGTAGGTCCTGTGCTCCAGCTTTGATGGTGCAAAGAGTTGTTCAGCACATTTGGGGCAAGATTGACTGTCACGTGTCACCCATTTCTTGCATTGCTTTTATGACTTCTGTTGTCTTGATGATTCTTCTTAGGATTAGCAAAGTGCTTTCGGTAGAACTGGCTTTTATTCTTTTGTAATAGAAGCATATGTTTTATTTTCTTTTCCCATGTTCAGTGTTGGAAGAGAGCTATAAAGCGTGGCTGTTTGCTTTTATGGAACAAAGTCTTTCCCAAAGCAAGGTGGCCTAATAGCAGTAAGGAAGCCACACGGAGCCCCTCACTCACATTCTGCAGTCATTTAGCCATCTGAGATGTAGATTGTGTGGGGTGCTGCCCTGGTGAGCAGGCAGCTAGAAAAGGCACACCCAGGGCAGTGAGCACCCCGTAAGTCAGATGAGCGGATCAAAGGGACCAGGGTGCATGGGGGCGGGGGCGAGAATTCTTGAGTCGCTGCAAGGTGGGAGCATTCATAAATCGGAACATGAGGGCCAGAGTTTCCAATGCAGGGTAATTAGGAAGGCTTAGAGTTTGTAGTTCTCAGTTCTTATGAGACCTTTACAATTGAAAAAGAAGTTGGTGGTGGTGGACTTGATATTTAGAAAATGCCATGAGAGGTAGGTGGCTGTTGCTTCTTGGGGGGAAAGTATAAATTAAAAAAAAAAAAAAGCCCAGAAACATGCACACTAACAGTGAGTTATTAAGGCTTTGAGTGGATTAGGAAGTATGACTGTATTGCAGCAAGCATTTGTTCTATGATTCAGATGTTTCTCCCGTGAGAAGCCAACAGTAAGCCCCTGTGTTTCCCACTGTGCTGCTGTCACGGGGACCCTTAGCTTTTTGGGAATGCTTCTTGGAATCCTAGCACCAGGGTCATCAGGGGCTGGGCCAGGTGGGAGCCAGGAGCTGGGAGTTCAGCTCCAATCTCCCAGTGTCCATGACATCGAAGCAGGTCATGGAGCCATTCCTGCTGTGTCCCAGGCATGTATTACCAGGGAGCCAGAATCGCAAGTGGAGGCGAGAGTGTAACACCCATGTGGGTGTCGCACTGTGCTCAGCCCAGGTCCTTCTGTCCACCTGTGGGTTCTCTGCTAGGCTCCCTGCTGCACTGTGACATCATGTTGACCTCTCCATAGCAGGTGTTCCTCAGGTTCTTGGTACATTTTGGACTGAGAAGGTCCGAGGGAGAGATCTTCACTCCCATGCCACGGATGAGCTCGCCGACATTCGGATCTTGTACACGAACCTCTCACTGGATGCGTCCAAAGTAGGCTCCGTGGCCGGTGGGGACAGAATGAGAATGCGGTCACTGCCACAGTTTGGGTCGGGGCAATTATGCGGGCAGTCCACATGATGGAGGAGAACGGAGGAGGAGGTAGAAGCCAGCCAGCCAGATGTGGAGGCTGTTCTCCAGGGTCCAGGGAGCTTGCGAGTCCTGCGCCATGTTCGGGGGAGATGACTGAGATGGGATTTGGAAAGAGACATTTTCTGGGATCACACGATGAAAGGGATGAGGGAGGAATGTGTCCAGGAAGGGATTTTTTTTTACCATTTTTAAAAATTACTATTGTCATTTTATGATAGAGTTCCATAGGCCCTGGTATTTCCCTTATCCCGTCACCAAAACCCCTCCCCCGCATACAGATTCCTCTTTATAGTCACAATAGTACAGTTCTTCATAAGCAGTCTTAAATACATCGTTGTGAGCAGGGACAATGGCGGAGACTCCAGCATCCAATTGTCAAGATATCATTTTCATTGGGAGTCCATCTTTGATCTGGAAGTACAAGTGCATATTGCATTGTATCCTCACGTCTGAATAAGACAGTCTCCATTACACAGCTACTGTATATCCCCTTAAATGAGAAGCCGCAACACAAAATCAACAGGGAGAAAAAGGAAAATGCCATGAACTTAAATAACATGCTACTGAATAACTAATGTTGCTGAAGA